ACATAGGAAGTATTTAATAAGTGTTTGTCCAATTGAAAATTGAAACAATCAGAGCCCATAGTATTTGTTTGAAATTGAAAGAGCAAAAAAAATCACAAAGTCAATCATAAAAAATGATCCTCACATTCCATTCTCTAAGCATCTATTGATTTACTACTGCTGATAATTTCCTGGTGCCAGATGATGGTTTTTCCATCCCTTAGGAGAATCAAGTCTTTTGAAGTTATTATTTATCTACAATAAGGTGAAAGGACTGATAATGGAACTTGCTATGTAGTTTAAGAATGCAAGCATGGACTTATAGTTCAGATAAACAAAATTATAGAATGTTGAAGCTAGAAAGAATGTGAGGACATAGTCGATCAAAAAGGAATCAAAAAAGGACCTTAGAGATCCTCTGATTCAATCACTTCATTTCACAGAGGAGGGAGCTGAGACCCAGAGAGGGGGAGTGATCTGATTTACCCAAAGTAACACAGAAAGTTGAAAAGCTGGGACTAGAACTCAGGTGTCTTGATCCCTGATGTTCTATTATGTCTACCATATCACATTGCTTCTGGTTTTATTTAAAGTAGATTGTTTAAGGAAGGGCATTCCTTAGAACTGTGAGCAGTAAAGATAAGTGCTTAGATATATTATTCATGAGATTTATAGTAGAAAGAACTCAGGGGTCAGGAAACTTAGATTTGAGTCCCAGATGTGAAACTTATTAGTTCACAAATAATTTCTCTCTCTCAGCCTTATTTTCCTCAACTGTAAAATGAAGGTAATACATTACCTATGTTAAAGGATTGCTGTGAAGAAAGCTCTTTGTAAATTTTTAAAGTGTTGCAGAAGTATGAGTTTTATTAATATCCATTGTGGAATAATATTTTAAGGGTTCCCAAGAAAGAGTTATTAGCAGGTCTGTGAACTTACTTGTAAAAATATTTTGATAACTATATTTAAGTACATTTGCTTCTTTTATAATTTTATGTATTTAAAAACATTATTCTGAGTAGGGGTCCATAGACTTCATTAGATTGTGAAAGGGGTCTGTGACAAAAAAAAAAAAAAAGGTTAAGAACTTCTGATCTAAATAGTTGTTTTTATGTGTTCATCAAAATGACTGTAACATAAAATCTACTGCCTAAAACCGAGGGAAAAAAAAAGACACCCACACTTACCAAAGAACAAGATATCTGTGAGTTTGTTTTTAATGCATCTAGAAATGTACAAGTAGTTCTGAGTGAGGGGGCAGTAATGGGGGACAGTGAATTTCCTATTTGATTGCCTCCTAAAGAAGACTGTTAAACTGAGATTGCTGTGCTAGCAGCCCAAAGCAAAATAAAAGCCATTAAGAAAGGGCTTGTTCCTCTTTGCAAATAGCCCTAGGCTGGCACAGGCTAATTTATCCACTGCATCTTAGAAGTGAGCAAAAGATACATTACATCCATAGAACTGACTGGGGAAAAGGAAATGTTTCTCTACCTAGAACTCTAACTTAAATTCTTCATTAAAGAAGTCTTCTCTATTATCTCCTTTTAAAAAAAAATCTAGACAATGGCATATGTGTGTGTTGGAGGGAATATCCTAAGAGCAACTAAGCTGAACTGTAGCTCTCTGTTAGTAAGAATAGAGATAAGGGCATGATGGCAATATTTTATGGTCAAACTGCTTTGACATGACAGTTGTATGGGCTTTTATATTAGCACCCATAAGGCAACATGTTTCTGGATTTTAAGATTAGAAATACTGCCATTTGCATTCTACCTACCTTCCACCATCTACATACATATATGTACAGAGATTTATATATATATAATATATATACACACATATATTCATATTCATATACATATATACATTTATATATGTACAAAAAAGTCCATACATATTACATATATGTAGACTCCTTGTGATTTTACATATTTTGCAACTGATATTTTTATTATAATGTGTACTTGGTTTATTCAGTTACTAATTGCTGAAATATTGAGATTGTTCAGTAATGGTTTATGGGGGCAGAATATTTGAAATCAGGACTAACCTGGAAGATCTGAGATGGATGATCACTTTTGGCAGGAGGAACAGATGTAGGACTCAAAGAACTGACATTCATTTTGATGGCCCACCAGCTCTAATTAAAATACTGATGATCCAGGTCCAGTGGATTGTTCCAACTGTTGTGAAGGCTGTTGGGGATCTGCTGCAGGTGTTGTGATTTGGGACTTGTTTAGGAAGTTTGATCTGGAGACCTTCAGGGGCTTTTGGGGGTGGTCCAAGCTGGAATTTCTTTAGAGAACATGTCCAAGAGATCAAAACCAGCCAGTAAAAGCACTTTTGGCTTAATGATTGATTGGTTCAGAACATCTTTGCTCTTCTCTGGATAAGGGCCTGGGTTGGGGTGGAGAGCAGAGAAGGTGGTCCTAAATAGTTGGCAATATGGCTCTTGGACTGATCCCAGATTTTCACTGGTAGGGGGTGGCCCTTTGTGATTATTGTTTTTCAATGCTCTGCCCAGTCTTCAAGTGACTCGATCTTAATTAAGCATTGCCAGTGTTGGCATCTGTTCTTCAAACTGAAATTTGAAAAACCTAGTTAAGGGCTGCTAGAGGATTAAGGGTCTCCAACAGGTCCGTACAACATATAACCCTCTGGCCACTTGTGGCCCACCAAAGGATTTAGAGTGACTCATGAAAAAATGTAGAGGATGTAAAAGAAAGTAAAGATGTAACAAGTGCTTTGCTTGTGCCCCACTTAACCGGTCTTCCATTAGTCACTATTGTGCCTGTCATGTAACTTGGCAGCTGGGTTGCCACTGCACACTCTCTCCCGTTTGTCACATGACTGGTGGTGACCACTGTCAGTCTGTCTCTGTTCTGAGAGGAGTGAGAGTAGTAGTATCTTTTTGATGTGTTTTCAGTCCTTACCGGTGTTGAATAGGGACAAAGTGAGTGCAGCCACGAGCCAGTGCAGCTATGGGATGAGTGGCAATAACTCAAGGCTTTCTTCTCTTCCCTCCATGTGCAGCCATCCTCCAAGTTACAGGAATGTCTGGCACTCTCCAAGGTCAGAAACTCAGTTCAGTATTTCTTTGTATGTGAACAGTTGCTGTGGAGATTTTTTTGGTTCTAACATTAAAATTTTGGGGGTGACTTTGTAGGTGATAAAAAGAAATGGAAGATCAAATCAGAACATAGGGTCTTTAATCCAGAGTGGACAAACAGATACTTCTTTACTTACATGAGAGACAAAATATTGTGCCTTATTTATGGAGAATAGCTGTTCAGAAGGAATGCAATCTTCGTTGCCATTTAGAATCAAAACATCCTGACTCAAGCAAATTGGACACCAATGAAAAAGAAATTAAAGTGTCCACGTTTGTTGAAAAACCTCAGTGGGGAACAAAGGTTTTTCAAGAAAGTAAACTCAGAAAATGAGGCTATTAATGTTAGTTTTCAGATTTCTAAAGAAATTGCTGCTGCTGAGAAGTCTTTTACTGAAGGTGGCTTCATACAGAAGTACTTGCTGATTCAAGTTTCTGCCTTACCTCTGATACAAAAGGGTTTTTGAGAAATAGTTTAATCATTAATTATACCTTTACTTGGAAAGTGAGCCGCTAAAAATCCATCTATGGCCCTATTTTAATTTTGACCCCTACCTACTGCCAAGTTGTGAAGGTCTGGTCTAGAGGTCTAGTGCCTAGAACAAGAGAGAATGATAGTCTTATCACCCTAATTTACTTGGAGCTTTGTGTTCAGTCCGAGGACCCACAGTAAGCCGACAAGATGGAGTCAGTCCAGAGAAGGATGCCCAGGTTGATGGACCTGGACCTCAAAATCATGCCCTAGCACGGTTAATTGAAGGAGCTGAGGATGTTTGGCTAAGAGAGAAGCCTTAGGAGGGGAATTGATTACGGTCTTCAGGCCCGTGAAGGGGCTATCAGGGGTAAGTAATTTAGTGAACTAGACCCACCCTAGGGGACAGAATTAGGTCCAAGGGGAGGAAGCCACACAGAAGCAAAGGTTGGCTCACTTCCTAACAGCCAGCGCTTGCCACGGACTGAAGAGGCTGCCCCCAGACGGGGCCCCCAGTGCAGAGTTGTTGAGATCTGTGCTTTGGGTTGGGGGTTGGGTTGAATGAGGAGACCTTAGGTCTGACCCAGGCTGTGATTTTGAGGGCTCTCATCAAAAGGTCCCTCTATCCACTTGTCTGAACCTATAATTTTCTTTGATGCAAAAGAGGGAAAAGGCGGGGTGGGGGAATGTTCCCATTTCCGTTGCCAAGGTAACACTGCTTCTGGGTCGCGGCGGGGTTGGAGAGGTGTTCTCCATGGTTGGCCCCGACCCCTCATCCCAGAAGCGTTAACTGGGGGCCGCTGAAACGACAAGCAGGGTAAGGGGTTTTCTGTAGTCCGTTTTTTGCTTTTTTGTTTTTTCCCGGGGGGGGGCACGGAGCTGAGTCCAGGAATCAGTTTTCCAGTGTAACTGGGGCGTTACTGGAAGAGGTGTCCATTCATTCCTTAGCATTTCAACCGCAATAACGGTCATTCGAGACCAGTAAGGGCGGGAGGAGAAAGGGGTAACTTGGGACCCCGCCACCGGACACAAAGTTCGAGGCCACCGTCCCAGCGTGATTGGCTCAGAGCCACGCCCCTTTCTGTCCTCGAGCCAGACGCCTGCGCGGGCAGGGAGGAGCTTCGTTGAGGTGTGGAGGGCTTTATGACGAACCTCCGGCCCTCGCTGCGATTCTTCGCCGAAGAGGCGTAGAGCCATGTCCTCCGCAAGCGTGCTCAAATGCCTACGCCTCCCACCCTACGCCCCCTCTCCTTGCCATAATTTCAGCGCGCCGGCCTCGTGGCCCTGCGCCTGGCTCAGCGACCCCACGAGAGGTCGCTGGGGCGCGCAAGGGGGCGGAGCTGGCATGACCGATCAGGCGCGCTCGCGTCCTGGGTGACGCAGAAGGGAACTGGGAGTAGGCGAGGTTGGAAGACTGGGCTGGCTAGAGCAGCCTGGTCGGGGAAGGGTGTGTGGGTGGTGCATAAAGTCCTGGTCCTCTCTGGGCCGAGAGCCCGCTCTCGCTGTTGCACTCCGTGCTAGGAGCAGATCCGGCGCAGGGGTTTCGGGCGGGAGGAAGGAGTCGGTCCTAGGGCAGCCTCCGCCCCCCGGGGAATCTGTCGGCTTGCCTGCCCGCCCCTACGCCCGCCCGCTGCGGGCCCAGCAGGCCTAGGTGAGCGGGGCCAGATCGCGGCGCCTGAGGAGTCTGGAAGGGAGAGTGTAAAGTTGGAGCCGGAGAGTTGGGGGAGAATGGACCATTGTCTGGAGGAGGGCCAAGGAGCCGGACCTGATGAATGGAGGGCAGAGAGAGTCCAGGAAGGAGGAGGAAGGAGGGATGAAGGTTTGAGGACGGGATGTGAGGAGGGAGAGCTGCAGTGCTTACGCCCGTCTCCCTTTTCCTTCTTATTATCAATCCCCCGCCTTTCCCCCATCTCCCTTCGGCACACCAAGATTGGCCAAACCTGGACCTTGGCCGTGGAGAAGCAGCAGATGTGAAGCAGCGTAGGTGCCCATTGACGCTCTGAAAGGGACGCAATTGGGGCTGCAGGGCGAGCAAGTTTCTGTGTGTGGTGGAGAGAATACAGTCGGCATTTTGTTAGTCTCTGACTTCCCTTTCTGCCTCAAACAGATGCGGCTTTGTTTATCCATCCCACTAAAATTTGATTCCTTGTTTAAAAAAAAATTAACTGGCAGACCTTTCTTTTTTTTTTCTCCTCACTATTTCTTATTTAATGTCTATATCGAGGATAGCCTTATCAGTTGGATGATTTCGAAGGTTATGAATAGTTGTTTATATTGTTTCACAGATGCCTGGAGGTAGGTTGATAGGTGTAAATACTCATTCCTTTCCTTCTGGAGAAGGTGTGGATGGGTTATAATCTCCACTGATAGAAGTACACCCGTGGATCTTGAATCCATTCAAATGCTAACATATTTAAGTAATCTGTTGTTTGATTTGTGTTTTCTGTTTGTTCATCTATTTGTCGGTACGGGAACTCTTTTGAAGTATGAATTCAGTTTTTTGTAATAGATTTAGGGTAGAGTCCCTGAATAGCTTGATCCTTGATGTCTTTGTTTTAAGGAACCTTTTTAAAATTCATACACTGCATTTTCTTGGGTAAGATGCAGGAAACAGCAAAATGTAATTAATGACTAGAGGTAACACCAAAAACGTCAGATTTTTTTTTTTTCCTCAGCCGGAGATACAACATAATAAGGGGCTGAGAACTCTAGCCATCTCTTATTCCTCAATGAACCGACTTCTCATTTGACCCCTTATAAGTAGCTAAGTAAGGCAGGAAGAGAGTCTGGTGATGTGGGTTCAGACTAAATGCTTTCTAATCTTACATTTTAAAGCTTCCTCCCAGATTTGAGTGTCATATCAAAGACATTTTTAGTTTGACTCCTTTGTTTTGCCGTAGTCCTTAAGTAAACTGTTCCAGGCTGTTTGAGCTAGCCCAGAAAGTAGTTTAATTGTGATCTTTGAAGTGGAGTGGTTGTGTGTTGTTTCAGTTACTCTGGAGAAATAGGGCAGCGGAGTAGTTTCTGCAAAGGTGAAACTTTAACCTTAACATAGTCCTACTACAGAGTTGGGTGTTTATGATGGTAAACTGTATATAAACTTCAGCTATTATTAACTTTTATCCTCAAACAGTTTTGTAAATCAGGGCCGGTATTGCTACTTTATTTTTATAGTCAGGGAAACTTAAGTCAGATAGATTGTTGATTTGCCGAAAGCTATACAGTTGGTATGTAGCAAAGCTAGAATTCCAACCCAGGTCTCATCTCCAAATCCAGTGTTCTTTCCATTATGTCATAAACTACTTGTTTCATCACACGGACTAGTTAGAACCTGAACCTCTGTGTTAACTGACCTTTTTGATTTTGGCAATTTGGTGCATCTCTTAGCAAATCAGGCTGACTCTCTATCTCACTTCATTTGTTCATTCAAGCACAGTTTATCGAGTGCATGCTTTGGTGGGTACTGTGTAGTACTAGTGATACTATTGTGCTAAAGGAAGTAGTAATGTCTGCCACCTTTAAGGAAGAATACAACTAACTGGGAAGTCAGCACGGTTGCTGTGACCAGGGAATGATTTAAGAGCTCCTTAAGAACGTTCAAGTATAAGAAAGGTGTTGGATAACTTGTGTAGATAAGTGTTAGAGGATTTTGTGTGGTAAAGAGAAGGGGCTAATTAGAGTCCACTGGGGTTAATTCTTGTGTTCTTGAAGATGAGTCTTAGAATTTCTATCTGCGGCACTTCATGATGCAGACTTTTATTCTGTTTCAAATCTCTACTGGTACACCTATCTAATTTGAATTTATAGAGTAAAAATCTTCCCCGGTCCTATTTTGGGTTAGCACTAATGTAAATTTGGATGTTACTAGGCTAGGGACTTTGTCTATACACTGAAAGTTCATTATAATGCTACACTTGGCATCTATGCAAATCAGCTTTACAATAAGATATTATTAATACTTTTAATAATTAAATTCCTTGAATTCCATTGTGGACCTACCTTCAAATGAATATTGCAATACAATGATTGCAATATAACAAATAGTGTTAGGTGAGATTTTTTTAAGTTTTATTTTTTTTTACATTATATTTACAGATTCCCCACTCCATTAGCTATCTCTTGTAACAAAATAAAACAAATAAATTAAATAAATAGCGACTTCATCTTGAAATTAATGTAACATTTGGAAATTGTATCATCCCCCCCAATTTTTAAGTTGTTTTTCAGTGAACAGAAATCTGTTTTCTCTTCGTCCTCTCCCCCACCCCGTGGAAAAAGTAAAGAAAAATTTCTTTTAACATATGCACAAACAAAATAAATTCCCTTGTTGGCTCTTGTGTGTGTGTATGTATAAAGATATATGTGTATAGAGTGTGTAGAGACAGACAAATTCGTTTTTTCGAACTCTAAACCTGTGTCAGGAGGTAAACAGTATCTTTTATCATTGGTCCTCTGGTATCATGAATGGCCATTGTGTTGATCCTAGTTCTTAAAACTTTCAAAGTTTTTTACAATGCTGTATAAATTGTTCTCATTTTGCTCATTTCATTCTTCATAAATGTATAATATTTGTAATATAAATTGTTCTTCTGGTTCTTTACTCTGTAACAATTTATATAAGTCTTTCCATCTCTTTGAAGTCATCTGTTTTCTCATTTCTTATGGCATAGTGGTATTCTATCATATTCATGACCACAATTTATTAAGCCATTCAGTAATTTATAGGCATCTCTTTAGTTTCCAATTCTCTTTCTACAATAAGTAGAGCTGCTATAAGTATTTTTATATATGTGGGTCTTCTCCCTTTTTCTTTGATTTCTCTAGGGTAGAGGCCTAAGAGTAGTATTGTTGAGTCAGAATGTATGCACAGATTAGTGACTTTGGGGTATAGTTCCAAACTGCTTTTAATAAATGCTGGACCCAGTCCCAACTTCACTAAACAACAATGTATTAATATGCCTGTTTTCTCATAGCTTATATGTTGAATTCTATAGTTTAAAATTCTTTTTCCCCCACTTAAGAAAGCTAGTTCCACAAACCCTTCTATTTCTGGTTTTATTATTTTTGCCTTTAAACTTTTGTCTTTTTATCTTTGGGTCACTTTTTTCTGCTTTGTAGTCGTGTGTGTTTACATGCATATATATGTATACGATAATATCTCAAATGAGATGGTATTTGTAAAGTGCTTAGCATAGTGCCTGGTATGTAGTAGGTGTTATGTAAAATGTTTATTCCTTGCCTTGACGTGTTTAGAAATGAAATTTTAGTTATATGTTTTCTAAGCTTCAGTTCGGTTGGAGGAAGGTTCAAATGATCAATAGAAAATTTTGGTGCTAAATGTTTCATCCTTTGCTGCTGCTCTCCTTACAAGAGAGGATGTTTTAAGTTGTCAGCTCTAATTTTAGTTCACATTTGGATAGCCGGGGGATATCTTTTCTTAGCTTGTCTTCGTATTCCTATTATTTGACAAATAACCATTGTTAAAACCATTGTTAAAAACCATTAATTTTTTGCTCCCTTGGTGCAGCCTCTTTTGGATTTGAATTCTGGTGCCTCAGTCATTTCTGGATCTATGCTAAAATGTATGAAATGATCTCTTTGTAAAAGATTTCTAAGTTTGATTTCCATGGTGTAGTCATACAGAATGGTTTGAGAATTGTACACAGGTTTGCTGTCATGGGTGACTTTTAGCCATTGTTTTATGGCAAGTTAGAGAGGACCAGAGAACTGGTTTAAGGTGATAGTTTGTCTTTTCTGGAAGCTGGAGGCCCACAAAATTGGTTTAAGGAACTAGTTTAGTTTAGAAAACTATGTGGTATTTTTCTTGACAGCAGTGATCAACATCCTTGTTTTTATCAGATTGAGGACAAGTATAATTTCTTATGTTTTGGCTTAAATCAATAAAGCACAGAGAAAATATGTCTTGTTTTAACTTTTTCTGTATGCTGCCCTGATATATGAACTAATATTTTGGACTATCTGATGCCAGACTATGTATCTGTTTTCTTGGGACCAGCTTAGCTAAATTTGGCAAGGCTTATTACTAGTTTGATAATAGGGGTGACAAGTGTTTTAGCCATGGCAGCTCTTGAAGACTGTCTACTAAAAACATAATAGGCTGTGATTCAGCACTGGTAGAGTTGTAGCCACAAAATGAAATCATAGGTCCTTGAAGCAGTGAAGTATATATAAACCCATCATTTCAAAGCATATATTTTTGTATTTAGATCATAACTACAGCTCTCTGGCTTGTCCTATCATCCAGTCTTAGCTGAAGGTGTCTTCTCGGGTTTCTTCAGGATGCCTGCAGCACTTGTGGAGAACAGCCAGGTTATCTGTGAAGTCTGGGCCAGCAACCTAGAAGAAGAGATGAGGAAGATCCGAGAAATTGTGCTTAGTTACAGTTACATTGCTATGGTAAATGTGCTGCACTGTCTTTGAATTACTTGTTGTTATGGAAATGAGGAAATTAGATTTACTATTCTAATTAGTAAATTTGACTGACCAGGCAGTGATAAACTACAGACGTGGTAGCCCACTGCCTGTTTTTATACGGCCTGCTAAGAGTGGTTTTTACATTTTTAAATATAGTAAACTTTATTTTAAAATGTAAAAACCATTCTTAGCTTGCTATACAGAAACAGGCAGTGAGCCCCATTTGACCAGAGAGCTGTAGTTTTCTGACCCCTGCACAATATAACCAAGTTATATGAAACTGGATGGCAAATTATGCTGTTTTTTATGAAACACAGCAATGTAGAAGCTAGGACATAGAGTGCAGCAAGTTATGGCAAGTAGAGCCTCCTGCTTGGACTGCTTGTAATAGCTCCCTGACTGACTTTACTTTCTCTAGGGTCCCCTCTTCATTGGGTCCTACATATGCTGCCAGATTAAATTTTCTAAGCACTGCTGTCATTCCCCAGTTTACAACCCTTGGTAACAGTAGCTCCCATTTCTATAGTTATTTCTTTACAGTTTACAAAGTGCTTTCCTTACAATGACCCTGTGACACAAGTAGTACCAGTATTATTATCCCCATTTTACTGAGGAGGAAACAAGCTTTTGATCAAATCGTGACTTGCCCAGGATCACAAAACTAATTAGAGGCAGAGGTAAGACTTGAACTCAGGTCTTATATATCCATTGTTATTTCTACTACACAATGCTGCTTCTCCCTCAGGGAATTCTCATTGCCAATAGGAATTAAAGCCAGACTTCTTTGGTTGATATTAAAAACCACTTCATAGGTTGGTACCAACCTAGTTCTGGTCTTATTCCCCATGACTCTATGACAATTTTCACCTGGCTAAATTGGTTCAATTTACTGTCCCCAAGATGTACTTTGTATTTTCCAGTTTTCATTCCTTTTCTTGTTATAGTTCTTCTGACCTGGAATACACTTACTTTGTTGTTCACTAGTAGTGTTGATCTATATATCCACTATATCCATTCCTGAATGATAGCCTTATATTTCCCCTTGCCTGCGTCAACTAAATGTAAATTCAGCATGTTCAAAACTGAATTCATCATCTTTTCTACAAAGTCTGTTTCTCCAGTGCCACTTGGCACCACCATCCACCTAGTACTTCAAGGTCTGCCTTTCTCTTCTTTAGTCATTCCCTCACATCCACTCAGATGTCAAGTTTAAAAAAATGTTTTCTGTAATATTTCTTGCATATTTTGCTTTCTTTCCACTTTACCTGCCACCACCCTAGTTTGATCTTTTTCACTTTTCATCTCAGTTATAGTCGTGGCTTTTTACCTTCTGTCTCTTCTTTATCTATCCTTCATATAGCTACATGAAATAATCTCTCACAATAATCTTCCTAAAGCAGGACTTTCACCAAGTCACTCCTGTGCTCAAAAGCATTCAGGGGTTTCATATTACCTATAGGTAAGATACAAACACTTTGTCCTTTCATTTTGTCCCATACTCTTTTGCGTCTTTGTGTTCAAACAGACCAACAATCTTTCCTTCTTAAATCCGAAACTTCCCCCCAATATGTTTTTTAAAATTATGTCTTTGATTTTTCCCTCCCCTTCCCACCCTTGGTCCCGCTCTTCCCCTTTCCCCTCCCTCCCCCCCTGCCCCGAGTTCCTTTTTCACATTTCATCTTTGTTGAATGTAAGCAATCTCATTTTTTGTCTTTGTATCCCTAGAGCCCTGTTGTTCCTTAGCAGGCACTTAGTAAGTGTTTGTGTTTGAATTTGTTGTTAAATAGGATCATGGATTTAGAAGGGGCCTTTATAAGTCTTCTAGTCCAGTTCCTTTATTTTTCAGATGAATATGAGGTACAGAGAACTTAAATAACTTGCCCAGGGTCAGAACTAGATTGAACACAGGTTCTGAGTCCAGATCCAGCGCTCTTCCCCTCAACCAGACACCCAAATTCTGTACATGTATATTGAGTGTCTCTAGTCGTTTCTGCCCACTTACTTTTAGTGTCAGAACTATTTCACACCTCTTGAGATCCTATAATAGACAAGTACTTCTAGATATGATGGTGCTGCTGCTTTATTTTAACTGGCATTAGGTTGGCTAGTTAAATGATTTCTTTATAAACTGAGGTCACAGTTTTATAAACCCTTGGGGAGGTAGATGAGATAGCAGTTTTAGTAGCCATTACAGAACTTTGCACTGAGAAATGCATTTCCAATCTTCTTTAGGACACAGAATTTCCAGGTGTTGTAGTGAGACCAATTGGGGAATTTCGAAGTTCCATAGACTACCAGTATCAGCTTCTTCGGTGTAATGTTGACCTGCTTAAAATTATACAACTGGGCCTCACATTCACAAATGAGAAAGGAGAATATCCTTCTGGAATCAACACCTGGCAGTTCAACTTCAAATTCAATCTTATGTAAGTTGTCTGTGTTTTTTTTTTTTTCCGTCACCTGCTAAGTTGGTATATTTGTGATTACAAGTAATTTTATTAGGTTCTTTTCTTAATTTTTGAACCAGTTTTTTATTTTAAACTTTGTAATTTATTGAACATGTCATTCAAACTTAAGATATACTTGGACCTACAGAGGTCAAGTATTAAAATCTCAATACTTCCAGAAACCATGAATTTGTTGGTGTGGGTTGTTTTGTCCACCAGTGCCAGATTATAGTCTTTATATCCTTTAGTGTAAGTTCATTACCTTGCATCCAACCTGATGATGTATTTCTGTGAATTTAGGAAAATACTTGAATGCCCCATATACTGTATGTCATTGGGCTGGTACTTGAAACCTTTCCAGAAAGGTAGAGCATGACAGAGCTTGTGTTCTGCTAACATATCCTTTTAAGTCCTGCATTTACTTATATGCCAGGATGAAGCATTAGAGTAGGCCTTCATAGAGGAACTTTATTCCATCATGTTTTCCATTCTTGATGGTTCTTAGCATTTAATTACATTGTATTCCATAGTTTGAACCATTCCTCAACCATTGGGCTT